GTCACATTTCTTGCAAGGCTCATAGTGATGTGTACTACCGAGAGGGCCCAAAGATACCTCTCCGGCACACGGAGTGACAAATCCTAATCTCGATCTATGCAAACTCAACAAACACCATCGGAGATACCTATAGAGCATCTTTATAATCACCTAGTTACGTTGTGACATTTGATAGCACACAAGGTGTTCCTCCGGTATTCGGGAGTTGCATAATCTCATAGTCTGAGGAACATGTATAAGTCATGAAGAAAGCAATAGCAGAAAAACTAAATGATCATTATGCTAAGATAATTGATGGGTCTTGTCCATCACATCATTCTCTAATGATGTGATCCCGTTCATCAAATGACAACACATGTCTATGGTTAGGAAACTTAACCATCTTTGATTAACGAGCTAGTCAAGTAGAGGCATACTAGGGACAGTCTGTTTGTCTATGTATTCACACATGTACTAAGTTTCTGGTTAATACAATTCTAGCATGAATAATAAAAATTTATCATGATATAAGGAAATATAAATAACAACTTTATTATTGCCTCTAGGGCATATTTCCTTTAGGCACAACCCACCAGGGCGCGCCCAGGTGGGTTGTGCCCACCTCGGTGGCCTCCTGCACCCCCCCCTCTTTACCCTATAAATTCACAAATATTCCAAAACCCTTCAAGGTTTACCTAGATCAGAAGTTCCACCGCTGCAGGCCTCTGTAACCACCGAAAACCAATCTGGACCCCATTTCGGCACCCTGCCGTGGGGGGGAATCATCTCCGGTGGCCATCTTCATCATCACGGCGGCCACCACGATGAGGAGGGAGTAGTCCACCCTCGGGGATGAGGGTTTGTACCAGTAGCTATGTGTTTAATCTTTCTCTCTCGTGTTCTTGAGATGTCACGATCTTGATGTATCGCGGGCTTTGTTAATATAGACGGATCATATGGTGTTTTCCCCTCTCTATCTCGTTGTGATGAATTGAGTTTTTCCCTTTGAGATTTCATTGTTATAGGATTGAATACTTTTATGGATTTGAGAACACTTGATATATGTCTTGCAATTGAATACTCATGGTGACAATGGGGTATCGTATTGATTCACTTGATTTATGTTTTGGCACTCAACTCGTGAATTCTCGAGGTGCCATTGGGGTAATCTATGCATAGGGGTTGATGCACGTTCTTGTCTTTGTTTCTCTGGTAGAAATCTTGGGGCACTCTTTGAAGTTCTTTGTGTTGGATTGAGTATTATGAATATGAATTTGCTTTCGTGTTATTTTAGTACGAACTCTAGGATAGATCGAACGGAAAGAATAGCTTCGTGTTATTTTAGTACGAACTCTTGAATAGATCGAATGGAAAGAATAGCTTTGAGGTGGTTTCGTACCCTACAAACAATTTATTCTTATGTTCTCTGCTAGATAGGAACTTTGGAGTGATTCTTCATCGCACTTTGAGGGGTGGTTATATGATCCAATTATATTAGCATTGTTGAGAGGTTGCACTAGTGAAAGTACGGACCCTAGGCCTCATTTTCAAGCATGGCAATACCATTTTTGTGCCCGTTTACTATTTGCTACCTTGCTGTTTTTATTTATTCAGATTATAAAAATATGTTTCTACCATCAATATTACACTTTCATCACCATCTCTTCGCGAACTAGTGCACCTATACAATTCTCCATTGTATTGGGTCTGTTGGGGACACAAAAGATTTCTTGTATTTGATTGCAGGGTTGTTTGAGAGAGACCATCTTCATCCTACACCTCCCATGGATTGATAAACCTTAGGTCATACACTTGAGGGAAAATTGCTAGTGTCCTACAAAGCTCTGCGCTTGGAGGCGCAACACGTGTCTACAAGAATAAAGTTGTGTAGTAGACATCACCCGGCCACTTGTCAAACTCTCCGATGAACCCGTAAGTTGTTGTTATGATCACCGTGTTACATATGACGTTTGAGTAACCCCAAAGCCCACCTTCCACTAAGAAGTGACACGATACTCTCATGGTCTAAGGAGCAAGATCACACATTAACATTCTGTATTATTATAATTGATTACAAACGATATTAACTCAATTCATAACATTCAAGATTGGGTCGATTCAATATGACCGTTCTTCTAACGTAATAATCTCAATGTTTTTTAGGACTATCATTACTCTTAACGATATCCTAAGATCCGGAAAACGTGAACACCAACGACATTTGAGCTAGTCCCAGAGGCAAGACTAGGAACCTTCTATTTAAGCGTTTATCATTCCACGCGTGCATATGAGTTTTTCCACTGAATCTAATATTCTAGGATCATAGCAGTTATAGCATAGAATATAAACTCCATAATTATGAATATGGAAATATAAATAATACAAATATTATTGCCTCTAGGGCACATTTCCAACACAGAGGAGTTGTAAGCGACTTGACAGTAAACACTTTTTCATTCATTAATTTACACAAAAATGAAACCAATGTTGTAAGGGGTCTGAGTTGAAGAATGTTTTAAGTAACCTCTCAAGTAGAATGGGCCGGGATGTGCAACGGGGCTTCGGCCGTGCCAAGCTCTTCCCCTTGGAGCACTTGGTTTCATGATGATCTTCGTGTAGACTATGGTGTAATATTAGAGTGTTTGAGTACGAGTTGCGATCTTGCATGCACTTTCACGTATCCGTTTTTGCTAGCAGCTATCATCGTGCATTGTTTACTCTCACCTCGAGATTTGGCGCATACTTTGTCGATACATCCATATCTCGTGAGAGAACGCCATCATACCTACCTATATTATGGCATTTTCATAGCCATTCCAAGATATATTTTGATGCAACTTCCATCATCACTCATTACATGATTAGAGATATTTATTTTTGTTGTTGCATGAACGTAAGATAGCTAGCTTAATATTTACATGGCTTGTTCATTTTTTATGTCTTTGCTATGCTAGACCATTACACATGCTGGTTTACTGCTAGAGGCATTCATTAGATGTTTTTGCATCATGTTTATTATTAGTTGAGTTATTAGTACATGTATTGTATTGATTGTCATGTTAGAGTGTTGCCCCTACCTTGTGAGGATTAAAAAAATGAGCCGAAAAAGACAAAGAGAAAAAGTTCCATGGAGGCCAAAAAATTGAGAGAATAAAAGAGAGAGGGGCACACTACTATCCTTTTTGCATACATATGTGTTCCACAATGTAACAATTTGATTTGTCATATAGACAGTTATCATATGCTTCATGTTTATATACTAGTTGGAATTTTAACATTATATAACTTAGCCTGCATATTCCTATGATGAGCTTCCTCAAAATGTTGTAGATCTTCATGAGCAAATGAGTTGGATGCATACCCCACTTGTCCATTAAAGGGTTGATCAATAGTGGGAGTTCTGTTGACAGTTGGGTTCAATAGTGCAAGTAAGCTACCGTAGTTACAGAAAGTTGAAAGGCTTGTATTGGTGTTGTTGCCACTAGGGATAAAAAGATGGTTGCATAATTGTCCTTTGAACACGGGGTGAAACCGATATATCATCTACTTCATGTCATGATACTTAATGCAATACTCTATTTAATACTTTAAGATGCATGTTGGATATCGGTCTTCGGTGGAGTATTAGCTATAGGTGCGGCTGGATAACGGTCTATGGATTTATGGACATGATGCTCATATGTTGATTATGTTGTGAATAGTCATACTTATAAGCATTGTAATTTAATCGATGTCCAACTATAATTAATTTACCACACCCATTTCTTATCTTTTTTAGTAGACCACTAATGAACCTATGGAGCCCGTTCATTTTTCCTCCATAAAGTTCTCAACCATAATCAACGCTCTTTTAATTTTGTGTTTCAATTTTCTGTTAATTTTCATCGACACTCTCCACACATTCGTTTTACTTCTTTTTGTAACCAACCAATCTAGTGAGATTGGCAACCTCGCTACTCCTGTTGGGGAAACAAGAAAGTTTGATTTGTGTGTGCAGATACCAATCATTGATTGTAACCATGTAGCTCTCATGAATTCGATAAACCTTGATGTCAACTAGGGAAAACTGCTGCTTGTTGCAAGCCCTTGCACTTGGCGGGCCAACACCTTCCTAGTAGAGAGGAAGCACGCCGCCAGCCATCGGCCCCCTGCCCATTGTCCGATGTGTCACCTCTGTTGTCGTGCATACTCAAGACCCTCCTATGGCTTTTGTTGTGTTGCAACGAGCTTGATGGTCTTGGTGTTGTCTCGGTTTATCTTTGCTTAATGACGACGCAAGATGCCTCCTCAACATACTAATCATTCTGAATTCATGTGACGGAGCTCCCAGTCAAGGTCTAGGTTCGTGTTCATATGTCACTTGCTGATTATGGATGGTCCTGCGTTGCGCCGTAGGGTTGGTATGCATGCTGGTGTTGCGTGTTAGGAAGCTTGCAAAGTTTCTATGTTGTGATCCCTCGACGATGCCCTACATCTACTTGTGCCTTTTGTGGTGATGACCCTTTCTATCTGCTAGCTAGGGCGTCCCTTGTTTAGGCGTCAAATTTTTTTCTCATCTTCTTTTATCCTTATTGGTTGTATGGTTTTCGCTCCGGTTTTTCTGGGGTCAATTATCCGGTTTTTCATATAAACTGGATCAATTATTCTTTGAATGACATTAAAAATTCAGGTGAGGAAGCTCTCCCCTGTTGACTGTTAAAAAAACATTAGGCAAAACACTTATGCAAATCTAGTATTTTTTTCTCCCTTATTTGTATACATCAAAGCACCTAGCTGTGTGCGCCAGTATAATACTCTTGTCTGGACAAAACATCACATCAATTACAAGATGCAGATGATGATGACGATGATGCATGTTTCTATTCTAGCAAATGAATTAAGTAGGGGCAAAATCACCAAGGCGTCTAATCTCTTCGCCCAAAAGATGCCACCTTTACTTAATAAGCATAAACACTCTCAGATCATCCAATTCGGCTGACACTTGACAAGACAGATATGCTGATTGAGTAATTGACATGTCGTCATCCTATGTAATCAGCTCGATCATGGTAAACATCGCCACCCACTGACTCCAATTTTGGCTTTGCGGAGAGCTGAGTCCCGTATCTCCACAGGTAATTCAGCCCAACAAGCAGCTCGATGATGGCATCTTCGGTCTTGTCCCGGTCAGCGAAGTGCAGCGTCTGCAGGAGCAGAACGCTGGTGCCGGAGCCCACGTTCCGCTGCTCGAAGCTCCTCTCGGACCGCCACCGCACAGTGTTGTGGGCGACTGGTGCTAGCCATCCGAGGATCCCCTGCACCGTGTCAGCCCACCCGGCGGCCAGGACGCGATCGCAGGGCGTGCCCTTCTTGCGAGCGGCGGACGACGGCGGCCTTAGGCGTGCTCGGAGGGACGCCCGGATACTGTCAGTCAGCATGCCGTACAGCGCATCCCTCTCGTCGGGGCAGATGTGCCGGGGCGAGATGGCGAGCTTCTCGGCGAAGACGACGAGGTTCGCGTAGTGCGATGCCAGGGCGGCTGCGCCGAGGGTCGCCTCCGGTGCGTTTTCCAGCACGTCGTGCGACGAGCACTCGAACACCGAAGTGGAGAGCTTCCTGCTGGCGCTGTGACGATCACTCTCGTTGGTCTGGTAACTGCCACTGAAATCGTCGTTGTTGGATGAGACGTAGCTGAAGCTCAGTGGGAGATCATGGCCGCCGTGGACCCACCCCTCCTTGGTCGGAGACTTGCTCCCGCTGACCATGCAGCCGATGAGGTGCTTGCCACGCACCGGCCACTTGAGCTGCTTCAAACTCTGGCTCCTGGAAAGTAGGAACCGGCGAACGTCGCCGTTAGGGGCCTTACCGGATTTTGCAGCAACCGTCGACCTCTTCGGAGCATCCACGGGGAAATCCGAGGGGTACACCAGCGAATTCGTACTCCCAACGAAGGAGTTGCTCCAGGAGAATGAGAGCCGCGCACCGGCGGGCGACACCATGGAGTAATCGTTCATGGCGATTTTCTTGGGCTGCAGGTCGAACACATCTATGATCCTCGCGACGATGGTGAAGAGCGATCTGCCAAGCAGACGGACGGCGTAGTCCAAGCTCCGGTTCCAGAGCGAGGCCGCGCGGAGGCGGTCGACCTCCTGCCTCTGCCTGGCAACGCGGCGCGCGGCTTCGCCGGGCGCGAACTGCACGCGGCGGAGGCGCGCGCCCTGCTCGAGCTCGGCAAGCACGTCGATCTCCTGGCACAGGAGCCCGGTGGCGGCGACGAGGCGCTGCATCTTGCGCGCCTTGCGGTCCATCTTCTTGGCGGCCGCGTAGCGCAGCCCGTGCGAGTCGGCGCCGGCGCCGCCGGCGATAAGGCTTGAGAAGAGCTCGTCGAACCGGCGCAGCAGCGGGTCGGCACACCGGCCGGCGAGCCGCGCGACGGCGCAGGAGATGTCCCCGCACGCGCCGGCCATCTCCGCGACGGCGAGGGCCAGCAGCGCGCTGTCGTCGTCGGCCACGAGCCTCCGCACGCCCTCCAGCCGGACGCCTTCCCCGCGGAGCTGCGCCACCTGGTCCTCCTCGAGCGCGCGCCACAGGCTCGCGGCCCGCGACATGAGCGCGGCCACCTCGAAGGACAGCATCCCGACCCTCTCCCCTCCGCCGCGGCCAGTGCTCAGCTTCCGCATCTTGGCTGAATCCTAGGCAGGCTGCTGGTGGCAGTGGCAGCGTAATCGAGGCGGCGGCGGCGGCGGCGACGCGCGTGATGGGTTTGGGTTCGTGAAAAGCGGCTACGGGGGCAGCGGTTTTAGGGAACCGGGAAAGCGCGGGTGGGCAGAGCTGCGCAGCTGCAACCGCATAGGTAGTGTCACGGGGGATGGTGGGGTGGTGGGAGTTGAAACCGAAACAGAGGGGAGGGGTCCGACCGGCATCGGGGAAAAGATTATTCGGCGCATGCAGGGCCGTGGAAACTTTGGCGAATTTTGCTTGGACTGTGGTTGGAGACAGACAAGGGAGAGGGATGCGGTGTGCGGATGATGAGCCATGTGTTGGGTCCGTCGCGCACTATACGTGACTGCGTGCGTCAGGGCGGCCTCTGTCGGGGGGGCTCGGGATGTTCGCCGGCGCGGTACTCCCAATGATTGGAGGATATAGACAAGCAGACGGTTCTTTGGCCAGTTGCCGTTGCTCATGGGTCACGAACTCGAACCCCTGTTTTGGCAGTTTGCCTTTGCCCCTGTGTCGATCGCCAACATATGTCGGGAAGGTAAACGTTGGGACATCCTCAACGCCGTGCTGCAAAACGTCCGCAAACATTCGACCAATGTGTTTGTGTGTCTGAATTTCCACAAAACGGCATCAAATTTGGAGGGTTTAAGGACGTCCAGACCTCCACCACATATGTGCCTCCGCTTCCCGTGATCCACCGTTTATGATCGCTGGGTTGCACGTCATGGAGGCATAGCGTGACACCTAATTCGATGAGATCACAACGAAGGCGGACGCAGGGGCGGGGTGGGGCGGGTGATCATGTATGGAAACGCTGCCAACGTCAGCAGCTCCACATCGTTCGGGCCGGGCCGCAACGAACACGAGGCTGGCCCACACACATCTATCATGGACCTCACCTCGACCGGTGACGTCCACGGCCACACAACAGACTCTGGCAAAGAGTAAGAAATGGGAAACAGAACCGTCCACGTCTGACCTATAGTAGGATGTGGCAGATGAAACCGTCCACGTATGGAGAAGAGGGACGAAATCACTATTCTGACCTTTTCAGCAATCTTTGCTATAAAATAAACTCAACATGAAAGTATTTTACGACCTGACCCTTTTAGCAACGCCACAACCCGTGACGTTTCTTCTTCATATAAAAACGCCGAAATAGCTCGCGTTTCAAATCCATATTCAAACGCTCAGCAAGCTAGCCGATCCACATGAAAACGCCAAGCAAGTGGACGTTGCTGCCCTTGCCAGCAACGCCATGAGCGTTGGCGTTTCCTTGCCATGCCAGCAACGCATGCCACTAGTACAGGGCAATAACGTACACGTTCGATAAGCCGGCCAGAAATTTCACTGGGACGAGAGCATCATTGGCGTGACTTTTTGGCCCGTGTATTTCCTTGCTGAAAGTATAACAACTGCCAGTTGTTTTGTCAAATCAGTTGGCGCAGCATAGCTTTTAGCTTATTTCCTTGCTGATCATCTTCTCAACAAATCATTTTGCTATATCCATCCCTTGCGTGCTACACAATTTTTATTTTTAGGATCAGGAAAAGTAGCTGCTCCATCCCTTGCGTGGTACACAAAAAGATTGCGCGGGATCAGGAAACGTTCCGCGTTCTCTCGGGGGGAAACTGCACAGCAGTACATACATGCATGCAACGCATGCCACTAGTACAAATTAAAGATGGATATCCCCCAAAGTACATGCATGCATGCATGATGCCTTGGACAGGAGTGCTGCTACGTCCATGCATGGCTTTTGGCATTTCCGTTTAGAAACGCCATGGCCATTGGCGAATCCCTTGGCGTTTCCACAAACGCAATCTGGCTCGGCGTTTCGAGCCTGACACCTCGGTGAGTGGGGCCAGGACAGCAACGTGGCGTGGCTTGGCATTTTTGTTTGGAGCAGAAATGCCATGAGTTGTGGCGTTGCTAAAAGGGTTGGATTATGAATTACTTTTATGGCAAGTTCAGTTTGTAGCAAAGATTGCAGTAAAGGTCAGAATAGTGATTTCGGCCTGGAGAAGAGTAGGATACGGGTCACGAGCGTATCCACGACCATCGAAGATTTAGACTAGGGTAGCTTTTTCCATGTTAAAAAAATGTCGTGCCCGCTTTTGTTCAAAGAAATATGTCAAAAATTTCATGAATTTGTCCAGCTTAAATGAAAAACGTCTAATTTGCATAAAATATACACATTGATGTTTTAGGGATAACGTTGGATGGTTGGCTTCCTTATCCGTGTTGCAGACACGTTCGCAGACCGATGTTGAGTCCGATTTGGAGACGACGTTGGAGATGGCCTTACTATATGTGGGTAGCCGCTTTGTCACCAGAACTCCAGAAGGAAAAATAGCAAGTTTAACCTAAGGCTAACTCAATGCCCAACCCCCGAATTGACGTCCTTTTTGTCCAAATTTTGTCCGTCTGGGTCAGGCAAAGGGCGGCATCCGACTGTTTTTCTCTTTGCGTTGGACGCATCTGGTCCGCCACGACTGGCTGGAGGCCCTATGTATACATTTTTTTTGAACAATACACATTGTAAATAGTTTTACAACCCAATAAATCAGAATTGAAATAGTTTTACAATCAAATAGTTCCACATCCGAATAAATACACAATCAAATAGTTTTACAACCCAATCGAAATCGTCTTGAATACATGGAAAGGAAATGAACCGATACATCTACTGGTTGCGAATGTGATTCCACATGTGCTCAACCAAGTCATTTTGGAGTTGCATATGAGTATGCCAATCACGCATTTCATGATGGAATTGGGTGGACTGTTCAAAAGTTGCCGGTTCTTGGTGCTCAGGCACACCATTTTCACTGTGATATTAAAACCCTTGGTCGTAGATGTTGTCATCACGCTCATCCTCCACGATCATGTTGTATATGATCACACAAGCAGTCATCACCTCTGAAAGCTTCTCAGTGCTCCATGTCCGTGCAGGGTGTCGAGGTGACCGTGTTGGGGCCGATGGGCGTCGCCGGTGGCCGTAGCTTCCCCGGTACCGGATGCGGTAACAAAAAGCCACAACTAGTAAGAACTCCTCCGAATCGCTGGCGTGGGGCGGCTATGGTGAGGGAGTGGTCGTGCTTTGGGAGGCCAGGCTGGACAGCAAGGAGACGGCCGAAAAATGGGTGGTGGTGGCTATGGTGGGGGCGAGGGAGGGGCGGGCCGCGTAGGAGAGAGAAAGGGGGGGTTCACCGACAGGCGGGCCAGGGAAGGACAAAGAGAGTGACCGTGTGTGTCCGCGCCCTATCCGTTTTGATGCAAACGCGGCCCAAATTTGGGCTAGAAATGGCCGGCGACGGACAAAAAACGGACGCTCGTCCATCTGTGTCCGCGCTTTGGTCTGCGATCCCAAACGAGCACCGCCGAACCATCTGGGGTCGTGTGTCTGTCTGTTTCGACACAAACGCGGCCCAAATTTGGGCTAGAAATGGGCCAGCGACGGACAAAAAACGGACGCTCGTCCATCTGTGCCCGCGCTTTGGTCTGCTATTCCAAACGGGCGCGACCGAACCATTTGGGGTCATGTGTTGGAGTTGGCCTAAGGTTTTTATAGGGTTTGGCGTATTTGCGGCAATCCTGATCATTAGCGAAGATTTCTCCACTGATGCTACCACTCTGACGCCCTGCAAGGGGATAGATACAACGCTCAACTGATCGTGCGAGCTCCTCTTCTAGGGGCAACACGGGAAGGCTTTCTTCTTTCTTTGTGCATGAAATTTTTGTATTACTCAATGACAATGTCCTTGCAATCAACAATTGCTTGCTCTAAAGCAACCAGAACCAAACCAAGTCATGGTTCTGTCATCAAGTCTACTCTCCCTGTCTGATAATGTAAGACATTATTACATCTAATATACTATTAAATGTAATAACATCTTACATTATGGGACGGAGGGAGTAGCAAATTTTGCTAAACTATTGATACGTCTCCAACGTATGTATAATTTATGAAGTACTCATGCTATATTTACATGAGTTTTATATGATTTTGGTGCATATTATTTTTATGGACTAACCTATTGATCGAGTGCCCAGTGCTAGTTCCTATTTTTTGTTTCGCAGAAATACCATACCAAATGAAGTCCAAATATGATAAAATTTTATGGAGATTTATTTTGTAATATATGTGATTTTTGGGAGAAGAATCAACACAATAAGGTGCTTGAGGGCCCCACGAGGCACTAGGGCGCGGCCTACCCCTAGTCGCACCCAGGTGGTTTGTGGGCACCTCGTAGGTCAGTTAATGTCCTTCTTTCGCCATAAGAAAGAGAATATTCAGAGAAAATCCCCTCAAAATTTTATCCCAGTCAAAGTTATGGGTCTCAAGGAATTTAAGAAACAGTTTTGACCAGAAACAGGGTCGCGAAAACAAAAGGAAACAGAGGGAGAGATCCAATCTCGGAGGGGCTCCTGCCCCTCCGGGCACCATGGAGGACAAGGACCAGAGGGAAAATCTCAACCCATCTAGGAGGGAGGTCATGGAGGAGCAAGCCAGAGGAGGATCCTCTCTTCCCCTATCTCTCGGTGGCGCAGGAGTGCCACCAGGGTAACCATCGCCACGGTGATCGTCTTCATCAACATCACCGTCTTCATCACCTCCCTCATCTCTTTTCAGCGGTCCACTCTCCCGCACCCTGCTATAATCCCCTACTTGAACATGGTGCTTTATGCCATATATTATTATTCAATGATGTGTTGCTATCCTATGATGTTTGAGTAGATTTCTTTTGTCCTTTGGGTTGATTGATGATCTTGATTGGTTTGAGTTGTATGTTTCATTTTGGTGTTGTCCTATGGTGCCTTCCATGCCATGCACACATGGGGGATTCCCATTGTAGGGTGTTGCAATACGTTCATGATTAGCTTATAGTGGGTGGCTAGAGTGAAAGAAGCTTACATCCGAGTAAGGGGGTTATTGCGTATGTGAGTAAACGGGACT